GGTACAGATGGTATGCTTAGTTATAGCACACCATCTGTAACTTTGAAATAGACATGAGGAATAGACAAAACATTCGAACATTCAGAGAAGAGAATTCCTTTGTCGTGGGTTTAATCACGTTTTCCCAAAAAAACATGGACGTCTAACGCGTGATAGCAAAAGCAGAAAAATTGCAAATCCTTAATACGTTTATACCAAATTGTTTACACCCAAGAAATATACAGAACAATAAATTCTGAAGGCATCACAACCTAACGCTCACACTGTTTTTATGTTTATAAAGTACTTTCTTGTAACAAACGTCTAAGCAAAATCATGCCACATTAAGTGATACAGAATTCATGAGATAATTCTAAGATAATTATCTAAGCTTTATGTATAGATCTTTGTCCTATCTTATTAAAACTACTACAAAAATTTTCTTTTTTTTGCGGCAAAATCTGCATTTTCCATGAAAATGTTACTGAAACACCCAGAGCGCTTACTATCTGCCTCTGTCGTAATTCTAAAATACATCGGTTTAGAGGTTCGATAATTAGCAGATGGGACAATAAAAGTAGCACTAAGCTCAGCTCAGGCATTTCGCACATAATGATAGGGGTTTTTGATTTATACTAGTTGATAAAAGAAAAAAGCAAATCTTTTTTTGTGCTAAACAAAATCAGTGAGAAAACCTTTTTTCGTGTAGTAATCAATGGAGAATTTGGCAAAGATGAATAACATTTTCTTCAAACATTCTTCATTCATTTTCTTAGTTTTACTTCCTATTTATACATAATCCTTCAACGTGCTAAAAACTAGAGACATCTTTACTTAAAGCGAACATTTTAGGAATTGAACTATCTGGACCAGTCCTTGCCAACTGCTGATTCATTTCAATCTAGTAGGTAATTTTTAGAGCCGACGAAACGCTGTAGTTAAAAAGAAGAGTCTCAGCTAGATTAACAAACATGTAGTAATCTTTTAGATTAAAAAGTCGACGTTTGATGTAAATATAGCTGGAAAAGGGCCCTTAAGAACGTAATTCGCACAAGGGACAATACATTTTACAGTAATCTTTTGCGCTGCGGCAGGGTAGGTGTGGGGAGCGCCATACTAAGGACTTGTGTAAGTTACGACATTGTAACATCACTTACAGTTTTTTTGGCTATTTATAGCCTAATGAGCTTTAAGCAAAGTTAGAATTCTTTACTTATCTGCAAAACTTAGGTAACATATTAATTAGAATTTAATAAAACATATCACAAGGGTAAACATAAAAAACAATTTACAAGCGTGCTAAAATATCTTTCTTAGGTTTTTTCAAAATCAAACAAGGTGTTAACAGAAATATGCTAAGGGA